CAACCCATCACTGGGAAACTGACTGAACATTTCTTATAATAATAATACATTTTATTTTTATATGGCGCCTTTAAAAGTATTATCTGAAGGCACTTAACAGACCAACCCGGGCTCATTGTGAAAACGTAGCCCCGCGGACGTTTCTGCGGACTGCGATTTACGTCCCGGGAGGTACGTATTCGAACGGTTTTTGTTTTCGCGGATCCGCTAGAGGCCGCTGTGCGCGCTTTTTCGTGTCTCGGGCGGCTCTCGGGAGCGCGCGCCATTCGCGCCCGCGCCATGCTCGCGAGAAAAATCGCCGGATCGGCCGACTCAGCCGCCCTCCTCTTCTTCCTCCTCCTCCTTCCCTAAACCCGAGCGACGGTTCGCAAAAGCCGTCCAAAAAAAAAAAAAAAAAAGCAAAAGCCCTCGTCTTCAATTTCGACCGCGTTTTCGGATGCCGCCACGTTCTCGCCCTTATTTTTCGGATTCCCTTTTTTTGTTTTACCTGATTTCCGGAACCGCTGTTCCCCGGACTCGATCCCGGTCGTCGTCCCCGCGGCCGGCTCCTCCTCCGGGGCCTCCGCTCCGCCGACGCAAAGCTGTGAGCTAAGCGAACAAACTGGTTGAATAGGGAAAGCCCTCCACTCGGAGGCGAGCCGTCGGCCGGCGAGTGCGAAAAGGAGGGGCGGAGCGTCGCCACACCGCCCCGCAGCGTTCGCTCGAAAAAACTAAACGCGGCCTTACGTACCTCCGGCCACGTAAATCGTGGTCTCCAGAAACGTCCGCAGGGCTACGTTTCCAGAATGAGCTTGGGTTGTAACAGACATTTAAAATGGAAGCAGTAAAAGATTCATACAATGAAAATATGCAAAAAAACAATAATAAAAATACATAACTACATTAAAAACACATCAATAATATTAATAAAAACTGATCTAAAAATCAAATAAAAGCTACACTACAAAAGTAAGCTTTAAGTGAAAATTTTAAGATATTAGATATTATTATCCATTTTACCTATCAACCAAATGAAAAGCTCAGATGATTATTGTGGCGCTAGACCATTCAAGACCTTGTACGCAAGCATTTTAAAATCAATATATTATTTAAGATATTTTGCATATATTTGAGTAATTCTATTTGTTAACAGAATAAAGGCCCGTGCACACCGAGACGTTTTTTGCTCGCGTTTTCCGTCGATGTTTAACGGCTCACGACTAAAAACGGGCGTCAATGTGATCGTGCACACCAATGCGCAAAACGCCTCATGCTCGTTTTTTTGTTCTGAAGCGCTGTGTCAAAATCTTTTCCACCAATCAGATCGGCACTTTTGTTCACGTGCACGGAGCTGCTGCAGTTACAGTAAACAGCACTTGGAGGCGCTCAAGCGCAAAACTGTCAATGCGAGCGCACATTGAAGAAGATGCCCAGAGGCGATATGAACATGGAGCTGCTTATTGCTCTGCTGAACAATAATCATTTCTTCATCGCTAGAGTTGGAGCGGCTGCTTGAACCATCCATGCTTGTTCGAGTCACCAGTAACTTTTTTTTTATTTTATTATTTTTTTTATTGATCAAACAGGGGTGTACAGTTATACATAAACAGTATACAATGGAATTAACAACAAAAATTTATCGTGTACATTAAGTATTTTTTCCAGTAGTTGAGATGTCTTAATAGCTTTGGTATTACTTTGTATTCCAGTGAGGGAATCATAAAAAAGTTTTAGATCAGTGAAAAATAGTTTACAATTTGGTACAGTCAGCATACATTTTGTTTTGTGGATGTGATACTTTCCAAATAAAAGAAGAATTTTATTTTATGGTCTAGCGCCACAATATTCATAAAATAAGAATTTTAGTTATTTTGTCCATTTCTAGTAATCCAGAGTTGCAATCCGTAAAAAAAAAAAAAAAAAAAAAAAACATTTTCATGCTCAGTTATACAGATAAATTTATAAAACACTTCAAAAAGTAGTAAAGAAACTTGGGACCAAAACCGCTTTGTGTAACTGCAACTGAAAAATAAATGAAGAATTGTTTCCGGTTCCATTTTACAAAAACAACACAAGGGTGAGAAACCTTCCTTAAACTTACTTATAAAATCATTGCATGGATAATATCTATGTAATATTTTAAAATGTGTTTCTTTTACTTTATTAGGAATTATGTATTTTGTAATATCTGACCAGCTTTTTGGGGAAAAGAAGAATGAAGGGAATGTCAGGGTTCTGCCACTCTGGTCTTGTAAATTCTTGTTTTGGTGGCAGAGCTCGGACACTACCCATGTCTGGTCCTGTTTCTGTCTCTGTCTCCTGCTTGATGCGGCTGCGCGCGCGCTCTGCGTCCCTCAGACGCGTGCGCTCTTGTACTCGTGTGTGTGTTTTCGTCTGTCAGCAGCGTGGTGTTTCATTCCCAGTGTCTCAGTCTAGTTGGTTTCGGTTCTGGTCGGCGCTGGGATGAAGCATGCACGCTGTGTGTGTGAGCGCACGGTGAGTGTTTTCATCCATCGTGTGCTCGTGTCTTGCGTCTGTTGTCAAAGCACGTGGCTCTGTGTTTACATTGTGGTCACGTGCTTTTGTCTCATTGGCTGCATGTTCTTGTCTTGTTATGTGTGGCTTGTGTTGTGTCTCTGTGTCATGCGCTCTCCCGTCTATTGTCTTGTCCCACCCTCCTTGTTAACCCATTATTAGTTAATTGTGTTCACCTGTTTGTGTGTCAATTTACTTTTTGCTTTATAATCCCCCTCATGTTTTTTAGTCCTTTGCCAGTTCGTCGTCAAGAGTTTCCTGTCCTGTTGTGTCCAGCCCTGTCTTGTCCTGCCAGGCCAGTCAAGTTTGTTTGTTTGTTTGTTGTATTAGAGTTTTTCCCCCCTCGGGGTTGTTTGTTTTGCCTTTTTGTTTTTATTTTATTATAAATAAAGACCCATTATTGAGTCCTCGCTCCTTTTCCCCACCACAACCGTGACAGGGAACGCTTGTTTCCATTGAACCATTGCAATTGGAGGAACACTTTTATCTGCAGTTAGGATATTCCTGAAATAACTGTCATTACATTTTTTTATCCTTGATAGAAAGGCCCTTAATAGTAAGCTCTGGGTGAGAGCCACCAGATACATGGTTAAATATTTTTGCGTTTTTAATAAGGTGAAGTAATTGTGGGGAAATACAATGAACACATTTTTTGTATTCAATCAAAGTAATCTTCAAACCAAAATTATTAATAAATTCATTGTAATCATATAAGTCCCCTACACGATTTAATAAGTCTGTAACAAAAACTACTCCTTTTTTAACATAATCATTCCAAAATATGGACTTGTTTTTTAATTTAATTGTTCCAGATAATACATGAGTGGGGGGGAAAGTTATGCTTATAAATCAGTTTCCATGTATTCAAGGCTTGTTTATGAAAATTTGACATCTTAATAGGAATTTTAGAACACTTAAAGGTTCAGGACACCCCGGAGAACTTTTATTTTATATATTAACAGATGTGTGTGTGTGTTGAGCATCAGTTAAGACAATGTTAGCACCTTCCAGCTTTAATTGTGGGGAAAACTGGATAATTTTGAGCTTTTGTCAGCGGATTTCAGCTTCCGGGTTTAAAATGATTTTTGGGGCGGGATCAAAATCGGCGACGTAGCGCAGAACTGCAAGTGCAATGATGACGCGTCGGTTTCTCATTATTATTCATAGCGGAGTTTTTTTATCCTATGAGAAGAGCCGGCTGCTTAATTATTCATGAGACCTGCCAGACCTGCCAGTGTCAAGCCCGAGCTGAGAGACACGGAAACCACGGCACAGTATTTAGCTGTTCATGAAGGCTCGTATGTGTTTGTTTCCATGATCCACGGGGTTTGTTGCATGTTTTTCCCCGCAATCTTGTCAGGGCCGATCATACAGCAGAGCTGTGTGTGTGTGCTGCAAGCATTGTTGTCGGGAGAGCAGCACGAGAATTGGAGAATGGCGGACGCTGTCTTTTATCAGGAGTTCGTTCACATTCAGACACATCGCCGTGCTGCTGTGTTTGCCTAAATCCTCCAGATTACCAGCAGGGCTAATGGTTAAAATAGACGGGTCAGGAGACCTGCTGCACTGAATCTTCTGGATACGGGAATTGAGGGAGAAGTCCTCATTTATAGTGTTTACATGAACACAATTATCTTTATAATGATATAAATTATGGTTGTCTGTATATGAAATTACGAATAACAAGTGTAGCAGGGCATTAAATCACTGTTCATTTCTTTGCATTTTAACTTTGTGAACTATAAACTCATGCGTCTCCTCTTTGTATCTCATTTTGTGAGCTAAATGACAACAGCAGTTATTCGCTCCCCTTCTCCCCTGCTGGCCACGCCCACTCCTGCCCGATGCTCGCGGAGCTCCACGCCCATTAATCATGCATCTTTTGAAAAAATTCTGAAGTAGACTTTAACCGAAAGTGCGGGGTGTCATGGCCCTTTAAAATCACAAGTTAGTAAAAAGTGTAGGCCACCACATTTTTTAAAGATTTGGGGTAGAGAACCATAAGCAATTATTGTTATGAAGACAATTTTTGATCCAATTGATTTTAATGATATTGTTAATAGTTTCGAAATCTAAGTCACCAGTAACTTTAACAACAAACGTGTGAACTTCCTCTTCTTCCTTGTTATTCACCTTATTCTCCGCCGACGAGCGGGCGCTGCCATTTGAATCTTTTTGGCTTGAGACTTCCGGTCTCATTCATTTTTTGACGTTAAAAACTGCTCGTTACGCTGCTTGATATTGCAATTTGATATTTTCTTATTATATTATCCTACTTGGTCCGTATAGTCATGCAAACATTTGTTTGTAGAGCAAGTAATTTGACTGTTTTCTGCCGTTTATTATTCCTAGTCATTTCTCCCATTGGCGACTGAATCGGAAGTTCTAAGACAATCGCATATTAGAATAAGGTCAATAAGCGGGTGTCAGAAGCTTAAAGTTGTGTAGCGCCATCTAACGTCAAAAGAGTGGTTTTGCATAGTCTTCTGCTTGACGCCAGTGAAAAGCGCTTGGGTTTGAATACTGAAAAATGTCTCGTAAAACGCTGACGATAAACGTAAACAAAAAGTGTAGGAGCTTTTAGGTTAACTAAAAAAAGTTTAGTTTGTTATTAAAAATGTCTCTTAATCATTCGTTAATACGTGTTACTTACTTATTCCTGGCCTCTTCTACCTAATATATGTTAATTGTGTTGTTAAAGCTAAAAAGATGGACAATGTTCGACTCCAATATTACATGGAGATTTTTTCCCAACCATTCTGTAATCAATCATCTTCCTTCTGTCTTTTTTCTGACGTAAGCCTACAGAAACCAAAAATAGAAATAGATGTTACAGGCAGAAAAGGATAATAGCTGCAATATAGTTAATTTTGCACAGTTCCAGCAAATATTGGATTGGGCATTATCGCGCCTTTCAAGACAATCAAGGCCACCGTGCATCAACAAATGTGGTTTATGATTATTTTGCATTTCTCCTGCAATCTCTTCCTTTTTTTGGAGGGTTTATTAATAAAGAATGTGATTGCGGTGCATTTACCTCACTTGAACACACTTAGTAGACTTAGCAAAGGTTGTTTTGGTGGATCATAATACACAAAGTCCTGAAAATGAATTATTTATAATTAATAACAATGTGTGATAATGAAATAAAACAGATAAAAAGCATTTTAACAATATTTACAATAAGCACGCAGGCCCCCAGAAGAGTAGCTTTCATCTTGTCTTCCAGGTTGACTGGAAATTGCAGAACAAAATCAGCATTCACATTTACGCAACTGCAGGAGAAAGGTTTCACGATCTTGCCAAACGCTGAACCGCTCAGAGACACCAGCTGTGTGTAAAAAAAAAAAAAAAGGTGAATACAACACACTCGCAAACTAAACATTGCAGCAAATGCAAGGGCGTAGGTTTGCGCTTGACATTGGTGGGGACTGGGGACGAGTCACCCCCGCCAAGAATGAATATTGTTTATATATATATATATATATATATATATATATATATATATATATATATATATATATATATATATATATATATTTCATATATTGCTATTTATTATTTAACTGCTATTAAAATGTATTATTAAGTAATCCTCTCTTACAATTTATTAAGCTAAATTAAATAGTCATGCGTGTAGCTGTCATGTTCACCAGCGAACAACCACCAGATGTCGCTGGTAAACACTCACTCATGAAACTACACATCTGCCTTCTTCTGAACTACATATGCATACATGCACTTCTCCTAGACACTCACGCCTGCTCACTCATCCAGCTTGATTACATTTGCACACCTGAGGACTTTCAGAGACTGATTAACACACACTATTTAAGCCACACATTCACCCCTTCAGTTTGCCGAGTCTTGTTTATCTGTAAGGTGACATTACAACGCGTTATCCTGGTCTTGTTTTCCCGTGTTTTGTTCTTAGCCCTGTTTATCCTTGTCATCCTGTTTAGCCGCCTGCCTTACGACCTATTGCCTGTTTACTGACTACGATTCTGGATTGTCTACATATATCTGTTTGCTCCCGTATTGACCACTGCTTGCCTGACTGTGAATAAAACCTGCATATTGGATCCTACCTTCTGTTGTTGGTGTCACTCCCCGGCGTTACAGTAGCCAAGGGGGGTCAGGTGGTTTGAAAGACCAAAAGTTGGATTATTATTATTATTATGTTTGAATTTATCTTATTATTCAAATGGCCAAATTTTCACTGAGGAAGGTTGAATGCGCCGGCCAGTTGGTTATTTGCCTATAGACTTCAGTTTTTAATTTAAATCAAGTTTTAACAGATTTTCCAAAGAAAATTATGATTAAAAAAAATTGTATTTTAAAAATAAGTATATTTACATATTTGAAGAGTTTAGATGCAAAAACCTCTGAATGCCATTTAATATTTTCTTCTAAAATGAGCATTTTTCTTCAACTCCTGTATGTGGACTCAGTGGTTTTACTTTTATAGTGACAAATACGTTATTTTCATTGCCTTTAAAGTGAAATAACTGAACATAAATATACAAGAGAAAAACGCTAATTTTACATGGCATTTAGAGGTTTTGGCATCTGTACTGTACTTCATTTCGTTATTCTAAGAATGTAAAGTCCTAATTTCTACTTTAAAGTATTTTTATTATTTATAAAACTGTAATAAAACTTACAGTTTAAATGTGTAAATAAAGCAATTTGACAAAATGGTAGGAAATAGTTTTGGTACATTAAAAAGTGTAGTTATTATAACTATCCAACAAGATTATCCAGCAAAAATTAGTTCTTAATATGTCACTAAAATGTCATATTTATAACTCAATTAAACAGAAAATCAGGTAAATAACTGCAAAAAGGTTCAGTTTTTCAGAAAACATATAACCCTTTTCAATAAGCTGGCTACAGGCCTGAAAGTGTCATGTTAAAATAATGTTTATTAACTGATAAAGAGAGCGTTTAATAAAGACTTTCGTTTATTTTTCGTACAAATTAAACATGTCTCATAGTATTATTTAAAGATGGAGCACAGGCTGTGGTTTTTCTGACAAATTGTTTCAACCAAAATTGGAGATGTTATAGGAGAACTGGCAGGGTCATATACGTTTACATGTAGGTGTTTATTCTGCAGTTAGTTTTCAGGGAATATTGTTTACAGACTAGTCTGCTTTAACGTTAGACTGAACGTAACACTAGCATAACGGCATTATAATGATGAACTCATTCAGTAGCGAACTTGAGTTTATGTGACACACTTTTCGTTGGAAAGAGGTCTTTATGTCCACCTCTTCTTGCTACCTCCATCCTTACTTGTGCGAGGCACACACCTTAAACATAGGGAAATTCCCCCCGGGCATGGCGCGCAGTTGTTTTGCCGCTCTTTGTATCTGAAACTATGATTTGAAAGCAGCCACTCACATGACAGCAGGGAAAGGCACAGCCAATCACAATGTTCACATGTGTTTGAGGGCGGTGCGACTCGAGGAGAGAGTGTGATTTAACCCTTTCCATATGTATACGTTTATACTGACAGCGCAATGTTTTCAAGTGAATTAAATTATTGGTGGGGACATTTCAGTAGTTTGTGGATATTGGTAGGGACACAACCGCCCTAAATCTATGCCCCTGAGCAAATGACATACTAGCTAGTACTCATCATATAGTCTTGTAGTAATTGTGGCTGTGTGTAAATCATGCAAATGTGGATTCTTGTTAACTCGGATGCTTTCGTTAACATTTAACTAGGAATTAGGATTAAAGAAGCTTCAAATAACTTCAATCATATACATTTTGCTCCTTCAAATCACCAGATAGTAGAAGATAATATAAATGCTTTGGAAAGTCTAATTCACAGTGTCCTACAGGTGGTTTATCAAACCCACTTACCTTTGTGGAGCACACTCAGAATTGCACAATATTTTCTAAGAAACATGGGGTGCTTACAGTTTCAAAAGCTGCACCTATTTATATTTACTCATTTAGCAGATGATTATATCCAAAGTGACTTACTAAGTAAGGATTAAAACATTTCGAGTTAGAGGTCTGCGTAGGACTCATTTTTTAGTCTCGCTCCCGCAAGGTTTTATTCCACACCCAACTGCTTCCACCGTGTATTCAGGCTTTGTTCACCTGCTGCCTGCTTAGAATAATTTTCCCGCTAAATTTAGATCTGGTTTTCAAAATCTCACGTTTAAATTAGGTAATATCAAAAGAGAGAGAGAGAGAGATAACAGATAAAACTGTAGGCTGTGCAAGGATTGTAGGTTAAATGTTAAGTTCAAGTTTATTTATTTATAGAGCACATTTAAAAACAGTCACAAGACTGACCAAAGTGCTGTACTTATGACAAAGCAAAAATAAAAAATAAGTAAAATAAAAGCATAGAAATAAGACAAGAGAAACGTCAGGAAAAATGTAAAAATGTAGCAGAAAGGACTATTAAAATAATATTAAAAAGCCAAGCTAAAAAGGAACACTTTTAAGAAGTGATTCTTAGTATTTTTTCTAAAATCTTAGAGCAGAATGGGAAGACTTATTCACAATAGAAGGGTCCATTGAAGGCTTTTTGAGAAGCGGAGTGACAGTGGCCATTTTAAGTTCACTGGGAAAAGAGCCAGTAGAGAGGCACTTAATAAAGAGGTTGCCAAGCCTGGGCCGACAATATCAATGATTTGTTTTAGAAATTTGGGGTGGATGATATCATTGGAACAGAAGGAAAGTTTAGTATTAGTGTAACCCCACCCGTCCTACGCCACCCAACCCTCTCTGAGCTGGTATAGAACTGGCGACCTTCCACATGGGAGTCGATTGCTCTAACAAGGAGGCTTAAGACCATGGCCTCTAGCATCTGTCGCTAGAGCACCTTTAGAGGTCAGAGGAGTGAGGTTTACCTGCACAGCAACTACTAGCTGGCCTCCATTACACTCACCCCCCTAAACCTCACTCCCATCCGGGTCACGGCACTAATGTAACCCTGCTGGTCCTACGCCACCCAACCCGCTCCAAGCTGGTATAGAACCGGCGACCTTCCACATGGGAGTCGGTTGCTCTAACAAGGAGGCTTAAGACCATTGCCTCTAGCGTTTGTCGCTAGAGCACCTTTAGAGGTCAGAGGAGTGAGGATTACCTGCACAGCACCTACTAGCTGACCTCCGTTGCATAGCAATTACATTTTTCAGTAATTGTAGAGAAATGGGATCAAAAGCATCTCAGTAGACACGATGCAAAGTGGGAAGAGGAGGATCAATGGGAGCAGAGCAGGAGTTTTGGCCTTAAAATGGAGATTTTGTCAGTGTTTCAGAAAGCTTTCACATAGAGCATTTGAAGCAACGGGCATTGATTGAACAGCTGGATTTACAACAGAGGGTAAATGTCAGTTTTGTTTACCCCTTTTATGATAAGACATGAGTGCCACCTTAAACCTGAGGTTTCAGTCGTGTGACAGCTAAAGAGCTCTGGGCAAACCTCTATTTCAAGTCTATTTCAGAGTTGCAGTATATAAATGCTTTAAGTCTAAGTTAAGATCTACGATAAATGTTGCAGAAAATCGCACTAGATTTACATTTCAGTTTTATTCTGACTGTTTAGGGATGAAAGAAGATTGACATTGAACCATTGACATTAAAAAACCAAAGAGAAACCAGTGTGGTGTCAAATTTGTCCACCACTGTGGCGAGCAAACTTCCCCAGACATAGAGCACAACCTGAAACCACCCGCAGCCAATGTGGGTCAAAATGACTCAAAAAGTGTAAAATCAATGTTAATGTTTAGCATCCAAAAAGAGAGGCTATAGACAGGGTCTTAAATTAACAAACGCCAAACTGTGTGAATAAAATCAGCATTAACCAGTACAGTAACATGAAAATCATCAGTTAGCAGATTACAAAACAGTGTGCTAGCATGCTTTTTGCGTGTCCAGTTTTTGGCTTGTCTTGATAGTCGTTCAGTCTAACATTATCTTAAAGTGTGACATGGGGATCATGTCTGTACACCAAGAAAATTACCTCAAACTCCTGATCCACGCAGAAGCTAAGAGGGACACATGGTCCTACGATCTTAAATTCAGGTTCACGTTGATTATTCTCAACTGTGAATTTAGGTTGACAAACATGCCAGTTTTGTCGAACATGTCCGACGGGAACACCCGGTGGAGATTGAACCTCCACCTAAAATAAACATACAACATCTAAGTTATATACAGTAAAACCAGCATGATCTCACAAGAAACGTAACTATTTTACGTTTCGTAAGTTTAGTGGCTATAATTCGTACAAATTCTTAAGATGTGCAAAAGTGTACGATTTTAAAAAGGAGGCCCAGCCCGAACCCCAGCCCTTAACGCAACCCTCGTTGCAAAGTGAAAAAATCATATTAAATTGTACGAATTAGCCACTAAATCAAAAAGTTACACATTGTCGTGAGATAGCATTGAGTATAATATAATCAAGTTACTCAAGATGAATATGATGTTGTACATACCTCGTGGCCACTGCAGGACCAGCATATAAACGGATGCTCAAGTCTGATGACCTCTTTATTTGAGTCATTAACAATATTCATGGTAAAGGACCGTCCTGTGTGGATATTCCGGCTACAGTAATCGCTGTCCTCAAGAATACTAAAAACATGGTTCCCGATGTCATCCTTCACCGTATATCTGATGTCCAAGTTTTTTCCACAGCACACTTAATAACGAAAGGGCGGGAGATTAGCGTTTTGATTTTGTAGAATTTATTAATTACGTATTGTGATACAAACCTTCATCAATACATTCATCCATATTTCTTTCTTTGTAGATAAAAAATTGATCAATCTAAAAAAAAGAAGTGGAAAAAACAAGAACATCAGGTTTCTTGCTGTGAAAAATCACTGTTATTTGTCAGATAAATTACAAAGCTTGATTCTTATTTTTCCACAAGAAGCATGTGTGAATGAAGTTCGGGATTTCAGGAGCACGTTAATAAAACTTTAGAGGTAACTACCTACATGGTACCTACCTACAAGGATTTTAAATGGAGTTAACTTGTTAGCAAAGGTTCGGCAGCGGAACCACGCCTCATTTGTCTCCTTAACCAATCACCTACTCCCAAAAAACTTATTTAAGACAGACCAGCCCTCTAGCATGGTTCTTCTCGTTCTCTCGAACCCACCCTGCCTCGCTGCAGAGCCATTTGAGGAGAGGTGAGCTCCAGAGAGGGGGAGCATGAGCTGTCGCTCCTCCTCCTGTAAGCTGTTTTAATGCGTACACCAACCCCACCCCTAACCCTACCCCCAGTGACATCACTCGTACAAGAAGTGCAAAAAAGGTGGAGCTCAAGCTTAAGCTCCCCCTCTCTGGAGCTCACCTCTCCTCAGATGGCTCTGCAGCGAGCACCACTTGTCTATTTCCTTGCTTCCCATTAACATACCAATTACACTCTCTTCCCTCCCATGTTGAATCAGGGGGTCCAATGACTCTACCAAGATATAACAGAGACAGTACCCCCACTCTAAGCATCATCGTTGGACACCTGATCAACCTACCTACCTGTTCACACTTTGTCCTCTTACTTCCCTTCCCCATCATCCCACCGTTCCCTTACCGTGCCTTTCATCCCTACAATAAAGTCTAGCTCAAAGTGTGGCGTGGTCCATGCTGGTGAAGCTAGGGATGAAGTACACCCAGGAGGTTGGTATCGTTTATCGGCAGCCGATGTGAAGTAGAGCCCTCTTGTATAAGACTTTATTCTGTGAAAACAACAGTCCTGGATGTGCTTTATCCCACAAAACATTGTTCCCAGCTGTAAAAGTTTTGAAAAATTCTTTAATTAAATGCAAAGCTGACAGAAACGAAATCAGCTAATGGAGTATACACTAACTTTCGCATTATTCAGTCACAAGATGGCGTCAAACATTCAAATGCAACTGCGTGAAAGATGAACAGACAAATATGAATGTGGATGTAAGTAAAAGGATGTGAACGTATTCGCTGATGATGTAACAGAAAGGTCGCTGGACTACGGAATTGAGGATCCACAATTTATTAAACAGAGAAAGGTCAGGCAGGCAGCGGTCAAACGGGTGCAAACAGCATTATAGGAGTAATCCAGAAGCATAGTCAGCAAAGCAGGTGAATGGTCAGGACAGGTAGCGAAAAGCAAAGGCAAAGGGTCAAAACACGGCTAGGCAAGGCAAGACAAGAAAACGATTTGTGGAGTTACAATAGCAAGACTCAGCACCATGTGTGTGTTTTTGTGTATGTGTGAGAGGTGAAAATAAAGTCCAGATAATCAGTAGATGATGAGTTATCAGCTGTTTATGTAATCGGGGGAATCAGGAACTGGTGTGTCTGAGGTGCATGATGGTACTTGGAGTCCAGACGGTCAAAAAGGTTCAAAGTTCTCAGATGAGTCTGTGTTATTTAGTGGTTGTTATCTGGGAATAACATACCTTGGACTTTTCAGAATCAAGTAGTCCAGTCAGTTGTGCAATCAGTAAGACATAAATTACATCCAGTCGATGTTATCACATAATAAAGCCCAACATGTGCAGCTGTATATGTGATCCAAAGTTAAAGAAACAACCCAGGCTCATTCTGAAAACATAGTCCTATGGATGTTTCTGGAGACCGCAAAATAAGTCCCGGGAGACACGTATTTTTGCAGTTTTTGTTTTTCGCAAATCTATGAGGGGCCACTGTGTGCACATTTTCATATCTCAAATGTATCTCGCGAGTCCCGCTATTCTTTTGTAAACCCACCAGAGACTGCTATCGACTGACTGTCTGTCCACCTTGCCTAAGCCCAACCAATTTTATCGGTTGACCCGCCCACCCACTTACTTCATTAAACCCAACCAACAATTTACAAAAGCTCTCTAGAAAAAGAGAAGCCCTTGTCTGATTTTCACCACGTTTTCAGATTTTACCACATTTTCACCGTTATTCACTTGTTCATTTAATTTTTTTGATTCTGTTTTAATCTTACCTGATTTCTGGAATCACTCTTCTCGGGACTCGAACCCTGTCGTCGTTGTGGTCAACCCCTCTCTGTGTCTCAAGTCTACCTTGACGTACATGACGAGCTAACGAGACAAACTGGTTGCGGCGGGAAAGCCCTCCACACGAAGGTAAGCGGTCAGCTGATGAGCACAAAAAGGATTGACGTCATACCGCCCTGTAGCATTCGTTTAAAAAAATGCAATGCAGCCATTCATACCTCTGGTTATATAATTCGAAGTCTCCAGAAACGTCCATGGGACTACGTTTTCAGAATGTGCCTGTGTTGTAAAGAAGGCAACTAAGCCTGAGTGGCACACCATTAAAGCTCAGCTTGGTCTCTATTTCAGAGGTTGCCATCGCGGAATAAACCGGCAACTATTCTGTCATATGTCAATGATATGTAGATCAATTCACAGTAAACCCTGGCTTCTTGAAGTTATTCTTTTCGTTCAAAATGTATGTATTGAGTCTTATCTGACCATGGTCAAGGTCTCCAGCTCAGAAAAGCGGTATGGATCTGGGCCAGGCATCATCGTGGTGAACTCTAATGGAGCAGAAACAGATCACAGTTTATATGGGAACCACACGCTGAAATAGTGTTTAAAGTAGTGTTAAAGTTTGTAAGTTAATTGAGCTTTCACATTAGCATGTTTGGGTTGTACCCTGATTTTTTTTTGACAGAGATCAGTTGCAGTTTTCTCTTAAGATCAGGTTTACACTCTTGAATCGTCCCCGAGTTCATCTAAAAACAGCTGTCTGGGGTCAAATGCGGGTGTAGGCATGGGCAATATGGGAAATCAATGTACCATTTAGGCACCAAGTATTGTATTGGAATCAAAATAGCATTGAACCATCACTATCTCACAGCTAATTTGTAAATTTTTGATGAGCTAATTCATATAAATTTGTACAATTTGGTAGGATTTGATCATCCCCCAATAACGATTGTGTTTAGGGGAAAAGTTTGGTTCCTTACCTCAATCTTACATTTTCGTACGACTGCATGAATTTGTACGAATTAGCCACTACACTGACAAAACAAAGTAGTTAGTTTCCTTGGGAGATCAGGCTGTTTAAAGCAGTACCCAGCACTAATTATTACACATTTTCAGGAAATTGTTAATAACACACAATTAAAGGTTGGGAAACATTGCATTATGTTGTCTTGACTCTTTAAGTACACCATTAAAAAAACATCTGTAAATTTATGGATTATTTCTGGCAGCTGGGGTGCCAAAAATAAGTGAAATAATGGCCGTTGAATTACAAAAATATACCGTAAAATATCAGATATTAAATTATAGAGATTTCCTTACATTTAAATTTCTATCATTTAATATTCGTTATTTTACTATATATTTTTGTAAATTAACGGTTGTTATTTTACACTTTTTTTCTGGCCTTCCAGCTGCCGAAAAGAAACCTTAAAATTACAGATTTTTTTTTTTTACAGTGTATACTAAAGTGCGCTATTCTTTTCTTTTTTACAAGACTTGGCTAAATTTGCTGTAGTCAAAAACAAAACAATCAGAGAGAAACAAACTCACCTGACAATTCCATGTTTGATTTTACCTGGGAAGAGAGAATTAATTAATTATTTGTTTTCACTTAGTTTCAGAATTTACTCATTGCAAATTGATGGTCAAACTGCACATTCAAACATGAAATGATATTTTAAATAAAATTATTTTTTGTGTAGTGAAAGATACTTACCAGTGAGATGTAAATCGTCAGTTTGGCAGTGACACTTGTTCTCATGTAAAAAAACGACAACAAAAAAAGCAGCCTGCTTGACGTTTGTGGTTGAACAGGGCTTTTGACCCACTTTCAAGTTTACGTACGTCTGATTTTTACAGCTTGAAATGTTCCATTAACTTTTTATTGCTGACTGAAAGAGGTCACCTAATTTATGTTCCCCCAGTAAACTGCACAAAAACAACACAACAAACTACTGTATGCACGAAAAAAGTTACATTTCAGCCAGATTAAAATAAGTGACATGAGAATTCGGTTCAAAATTACATCAAAATGTGAATGTCCGGGCTAACTAACACAAAATAACAAGAGTCATACTGTGACTGTACTTATGCAACTCCAGTTTGATGTGAGAGATCTTCTGTGGCAGGGGAAGGTGAGGAATATGAATGCTATCAAACTGGGTTGTAAATGCCTTTTCCTTCGGCTTAAGGCTGATTTATACTTCTGCATCAAGCGCATGCGTATGCTACGGCGCAGCCTACATGTCGATGCATAGCCCTACACTGTGGCCGTCGGCGTTGCTGACGTGCACCTCTTTAAAAAATGTAACTACACGTCGCAACGCCGCGTAGCGCAAGCTCTGTATTTGGTCGGCTTGGTAGCGCTGACGAGTCTGTGCGGGACCGTGAGCCAGATGGAGCGATTGTTTCCAAGTGTGGAGTCCCGTGAAGGAGCTCTGGATGGACAGTTTTGTTTTGTGTTTACCTCATAAAGTTGTTGCACGTCCGCCGGTTCCTGCCTCAAAAGGAGCGAGTTTGAGCCACTTCAGGAAGCGTTCAGAGTATATTCAGGAGGCGATCAGAAAAAACAAAACAGCAGCGAAGAAACTCGACACAGAGGAACATTTACACCTCACTTCCAACTAGCATTTTGGAAGTGTTAATGCAGACCAACAGAGACAGCGCGCAGAAGTATAAATGCACAGCTACGCTCGTTGCATGCGCCGTGGGTTATGGCGGTCACTTGACGCAGAAGTATAAACCAGGCTTTAGTCCTGTATTTATCAGGGGTCGCCACAGTGGAATGAGCTGCCAACTATTCTGGCGGTTCTGACTATGTTTTACACAGCAGATGCCCTTGCAGCCGCAATTTAGCACAGGGAAACACCTGATGGATTTGGATTTCTGTCTTCTAATCTGTCCCAGTGAGGACCAACGTTTATCCTTTTCTCATTATCCTGTTCCTCATTATTTCATTAATATGATTATCTACCATTGAAAAAACAAATAAGTTTACACAATGCTTGATGTAAGAATGTTTAGTGTCTTTGCTCCTCTATTTATCTATTTTTAACTTTATTTTTAGGACCCACGAAACCAAGTCAGGCGAGGCAGTGGCGCAGTAGGTAGTGCTGTCGCCTCACAGCAAAAAGGTCGCTGGGTCGCGGGTTCGACCCTCGGCTCAGTTGGCGTTTCTGTGTGGAGTTTGCATGTTCTCCCTGCCTTCGCGTGGGTTTCCTCCGGGTGCTCCAGTTTCCCCCACAGTCCAAAGACATGCGGTACAGGTGAATTGGGTAGGCTAAATTGTCCGTAGTGTATGAGTTTGTGTGTGTGGATGTTTCCCAGAGATGGGTTGTGGCTGGAAGGGCATCCGTTGCCGAAATACTTGCTGGATAAGTTGGCGGTTCATTCCGCTGTGGCGACCCCAGATTTATAAAGGGACTAAGCCAACAAGAAAATGAATAAATGAATGAAACCAGGTCATATTTCATGGAGACCTTTAGAGTGGAACTGCTGAGCTTGATGAATGGGAACAACTGTTTCTATCCTTATTTCTATTAGTTAATGTCTAAATCGATTTTGCTATTTTTGTGGTTAATTCTTTTTAAAGTGATTTCCTTTTCATGCAAAATAGACTGTATGTAGTAAGAAGATGGCAGTCCGAAATCTGTTTATATTATGTTTTGAACTAGTTTGATAAGACAGCTGAGGGGACCAAGAAACAACCTTGAGTTTTTATAACGGATCGTCACTTGCGTGTGCTTATGCATCCGATGGGGAATTTCTACAGCTCTGACACCGGCTCTTAATTGTCAAGGGGGCGACCTGGCCCAAGACTCCTGTCGCCATCTCTATCTGGACTCAGATACGACCCCGCATTGACGTACATATTTACAATTGTATATTTTTGATTTAACCAATCGTAAAAATTCACCAGAATCACACTCTTTCTAGTCTAGTGTAGAGAGTATAATTGTTATTGATTTGTAAATGTAAGCAGAGCGGCCTAGGAACTCACCGCGAGAGTTGAAGCTGGCTTCTGCTGATGAAACGGCAAACTATCTTCAGTAACCTTTATTTATTTGAATCTGAAAATCATTCACATTCCCCTGTAGCACATGTGTTTGGACTGTGGGGGAAACCGGAGCACCTGGAGGAATCCCACACTAAGACGTGGAGAACGTGCAAACACAGAAATGTCAACTAGCCCAGTCGTGGACTTGTATATTTCTCTCTGCAAAGGCTAATTTGTTTGACCTGAGCTGGAAGACTCTTTCGTGCCCAAATGCTTGTCTGTTAACACTACTTTATCTAGCACTACAAAGGGCACACCACTGTGAAGAGAGAACATAGAGCACTATTGACCTTATTTTAAAATGCGGAAGTGCGCCTGTTTTCACGATTGTTTTCGAACTTCTGATTCAGTCGCCTATGGGAGAAATGACTAGGAGTAATAAACGGCAGAAAACGGTCAAACTACTTGCTCTACAAACAAACGTTTGCATGACTATACTGACCAAGTAGAATAATACAATAAGAAAATATCAGTTTGCAACATCAAACGAGCAGTTTTTAACTTCTAAAAATGAATGGAGGTGAATTAGAGCGAATGTCTTGAGCCAAAAAGATTCAAATGGCTGCGCCCGCTCGCCGGCGAAGAATAAGATGAATAGGGGAGACCGTATTGCTCTTTTCGTTTCCATGGTTATAGATTGTCAGGACTTTTCAGGATTGTTGCTAAATAATAACAAAAAGTATATATAATTTACTAAGGAAAGTGTGTTTATTGTCGATTTAGTTAGGAATATCTTGAATGTCTATTTTAGATGTCTGAAATATCTTTCATTTAAAATAAATCTGACAAAATGTGGGGTTCACTTCCGCAGGAGGTGTTACGCAGTTGTCTACACCAATTTTGTTTTAAGCTGGATGGCACACAGCAGTCCCGTATATATAGCTACAGTATTAATAAGGTAACAATCACAATACTCGGAGTAAAATTATGTATTTTATCATCAACATTTTTTAACTACAATTTGTTTTGGTTTTCATTCATTTTCCTTCGGCTTTGTCCCACAGGAGAATGAACCTCCAACTATTGCAAAATATGTTTTACGCAGCGGATGTCCTTTCAGCTGTAACCCAGTACTTGGAAACACTCACTTTTATGTCTTCATTTTACAGTAAATATAATGAATGCAGTAATGTCATTTCTAGCAGTTTGATTTGGATGTCCGTCTTCTCTGCCCATTGTAATATGTCTGCCATCTGCACGCATGAAGCTGTAGATCGATGGGGCAAAGGGACCGGGACTCAGGTCAATCAGGTGATTGTGACTTCCCTGTTGTTGCTCATAGGCATTTCCATTTGACACACACACACTGAGGAGTTCAAATAGTAAAACATAAATCCAGCATAGAGTGGTTCAGTGAATGTGCTGTTAAATGTGTGCAAGTGTGTGAGATTGTGAGTGTTAGAGACTCTGTAGAAGGACAGACAGCCGGCTGACTCATCCACATACACTCCTACTCTCTTTGAGGAATGTGAGGGGACACGAGTATCGATTTCCTTGTTGTTGTGGCAGACAGTGAACGTGTCATCAGAGCAGATCAGACTCCAGGAGTTTTCGTTGGATCCAAACAGACAGTCCTCACTCACTCCTTTCCTGTGGATTCTTTTGTATGTTACTGACATGACAGCCTTATGTCCAGTCCATTCAGATTCCCAGTAAGAGCGTCCGGACAGACTCTCAGTGCTCATAACCTGAGACCATGTGTCAAATCTGTCCGCATGGTAAGGATATCTCTGATACTCTCTCGCATATGTCACCTTTCTGTTTCCCTCAGACAGAACGAGACGAAGATGTGCTGTGTTTGGATCCAGTGTGAGATGACAGTTATCTAAAGACAGGAAGTGAACATTCAAGCCAGAGTTTTTCAACCACGTTCCCGGACGACCACCAGCACTGCATGTTTTGGAGGGTCTCCTTTGTCTGTCACACCCATTTCAGGTCTTTCAGTCTCTGCTAATCAGCTGATGATTTAAATCAGGTGTGTTTGCTTAACCCTCTATGGCAGGGGTGGCCAACCCTGTTCCTGGAGAGCCACCTTCCTGCAGATTTCAGTTGCTACCCATAATAAACACACCTGAACCAATTAAATAGGACCTGAAAACCACGTGATAATTACAGGCAGGTGTGTTTGACTGAAATCTGCAGGAAGGTGGCTCTCCAGGAACAGGGTTGGCCACCCCTGCTCTATGGCATGGTGTTGAGCTCAGGAAACAAACTATTCTTTGGCCCACAAAACACCCGTTAATTTTTTTTTTTCAATAAAATATCCCAAAAAAGTCTAATAATAAGTTGGTGACCAATGAAATTTGAGGTAAGTGTGGGTTTGACCTTTCCTCTGGGGGTAAAAGAGCCATTTTTGGGACCGCAGCCTGCTTGAGGCCACTGCTAGCAGAACGTAAGATAGATTTACCTTTTTATCATGTTTAAATTTAATAATCTTTATATTAAAGGGTCACGAAACACCAAAACACATTTTTTGAGCTGTTGACAGTCGTAAATGTGTCCCACACTGCTAAAAACACTATTAGGACACCTATATTTCACTAAAAAGTGTAAATTGGTTGTTTTTGCGTTATTTTAAGCAAATTCGTACTTCCGGTTTGAAACGAATTTTTGAAGCTTCGTCACGGTCACAACATAATAGCGTGTATTCCAGCGTGCAGACTGGGCGTCTGTGCCAGAGTGTGTCTTATTACGTCTTACAGTGTGATGCATTAATGCATGAGTAAGGCTTGGTTCAAACCAATCAGCGCGCTCTATTGTGCAACTTCATTAATATTCATTACTGTCACAGTGTTTAGACGACAGAGACGCCACGTTGTGTTGGCAAAACAAGCGTGAAGTGTTGCTTTTATAGTTTGCTGCCGTTAAGTTTTGTTTTCATTTTCTCTCTGTGAGAGCGCAGCTGGCGTCACGTGTGGATTAACAGTGTACGCGACGCTCGACAACAATAACTTACGTGTCTAAGGAGGATTATTGTTTACCTGAGAGCTGTTCTCATCTGCAAACGCTGAGATCCGGATTCGCTTGTAGTCTCCTCTTAATAAAGACGCGCCTCTAGTTGCTGTGGATTGTCCTGTCTCTACAGATTTGGTAAGTGAGCGACCAGCGCTCTTTGTTTATTCAGTTCGTATTTTATTCGTATCGAAAAAACTATTGTAAACAAGTTAGCACTACAAGCAAACTATAACCTCGTGTAGGATTTTGTGACCGGAATAACACACGCGGCTTTCTGACGCTACCTGCCGAGTGCATCTAAGTTTCCGGGAAATGCCGAGTTTTTTTTCTCTCATTCGGCGTGCGGTATCAAACATTGCATGAAAATACACGCTTAGAGCAGCTCCTCGAATCAAATATCTCGTTTGTCGCGAGGGGCATGAATGAATTCCCTGAATGAAAGAGCCAAACTGCAGTTAAAGTCCACCATTTAATAATTTGGCAAACAATTCGACTACAGATGTCCATGTAAACACAGTCACTTTGTCCGCTGTGGGTGTGCGTTTGACTCTGAAATTCAGCGCGCCCAAATAGACACTCCCACACCAAGCCTCTTTTCTTCCTCCGACACTCCCCCCTAAACAAAGCTGGACACGCCCACTTTTCTGACTTTTTCCAAAGTAGAGGTGTGAAAACACCCTGCTGAAATGAGGGGGTTTCATGGCCCTTTAAATAAATGTGTGATGTGCAGTTAAGCTCATTCCTTCCGAAAGCGAGCTTGAAGAGTCACAATAGCTATGTTTGCATTAAAAGATGCGAATTTAATTTGCAATAAGGCACAGTTCTGCACAGTTTATCTTTAAGCCTGATCAAACAAACCTGATTAAAATAATTGAGTTCTTCAGGCTTGTTTAAAACCCACAGGTAAGTGTGTTGAAGCAGGGTAGGAACTAAACTCTGCAGGTCTGCAGCCCTCCAGGAACTGAGTTTGATTTGCATCTGGATTCAACTTACTTAATGGTCAAGGATTCACAGAAAGGGAGATACAGAGTACCATGATGCAAAGGTTTATCCAAAGGAAAGTGCCCAAACTCTGTCCTGGAGGTCCGGTGTCCAGCAAAATGCGTCTGCCAACCTGCCAATACATTTCTAGTCTGCTAGCTAGAGCTTGAGTTGCTGGTTTACGTGTGAAATTGGGGTTAGAGCTATACTCTGCTGGACACCGGCCCACCCCAAACCTAAAGCCAAGTTACAAAAATGTGGCACCCAGTTCTGCTTAACATTCACCAACTGCTTTCTAAGATTCCACCGTGAATAATAGACATTGGTAAATAAGTACATTCAATCGGTACCCTGCAGGAACATACAATACACCATTTATGGCAAGTTACTGATTAAATATTACTTGTTGATATTGTTTCTGTTAAATTAAGAAATTTTCTAATCGGTTGCTTGTACCTCATTTCACATATAATACACAGTAAACCTTTGTGTTTTACTGCTGTTACTGCATGTTGTTGCCCTAAAGCAGGGGTGGCCAACCCTGTTCCTCGAGAGCCACCTTTCTAGAGATTTCAGTTGCAACCCATATCAAACACACCTGCCTGTAATTATCACGTGGTGGTCAGGTCCTATTTAATTAGTTCAGGTGTGTTTGATATGGGTAGCAACTGAAAACTGCAGGAAGATGGCTCTTCAGGAACACGGTTGGCCACCCCTACCCTAAGGCAACAAGCCAAAATCAGCTGGGGAGGGGGCTAGTACATTTTATGATTGATTTATTATATGGAGCCCAGGAAAAATTAGGGTGAAATATTTTTTTTCCTTCTAAAACAAAAATTAATGCCGTAGAGAGTTAAGGAGACAGGAAAACGTGCAGAGCGGGTGGTCCTCCAGGAATGCGGTTGACAAACACAGTACCGCAGCAATAAAAAACTACAAGCATAAGTATAAATGAGTCTCAACCTGGGGTTAGAAATCCAAAAACCTTTTAGTTTAGCTCTTAAACATGTATACATACATTTATGCAGTCCTGCTGTAATCCTGAAGAGACCTCCATGGTCCACACTATAAACAGACAAATCATCCCTTTTCACATTTGATACAGAATACATTGTTTACAGAAGCAAACACATATAAAACACATAAAAAACAACCTGCCTTTTAATCAACGTACTTGAGTTTGTCCAGTGTGTAGTTTGGATCCTCCAGTTGTTCAGAGAGCAGCTTGACTCCTGAATCTCCTGGATGATTGTAGCTCAGATCCAGCTCTCTCAGGTGTGAGGGGTTTGAACTCAGAGCTGAAGACAGAAAACCACAGCCTTCCTCTGTCACCATACAGCCAGACAATCTACAGATAGTCAACATTACATTAGTACATTAATCAGACATTTACTAAAACTGTAAATACAGAAATTGTTGCCCACAACAGAAAGATCACCATTAACAAGCACCAAAGCAGAATCATTCCATTTCTTACTTCAGTAAGTTGAGTTGACAGTGTGAACTCTTCAGTCCAATAGAAAGCAGCTTCACTCCTGAATCCTGCAGGTCATTGTTACTCAGGTCCAGCTTTCGTAGGTGAGTGTTTGATTGAAGAACTGAAGATATACTTTCACAGCACTCACCAGTGAGATTACACGTGACTAATCTAAACAAAACCAAACACGTAAATTACTAGTGGCAAAATACCTACCAAACGATTACGACATGATTGACCAACATGAACGGCAAGCATGTCCAACTTACTCCTGTGAGGAGTACTTGCCTTGCCAACTGTTACTATAACACATTATTTCTTTGTATTATTAAGTCTTTTTCTTGATTTTTGAATGAGCTCATTAATATTCATGATCCTTCCAAATAAGGTCAAAACCAAGCATTTCATATTACGGCCAATTACTTGGTTTGGAAATGGACCATGGTCTTTTGTTAGCATTTTCGCCACATTTCCTTCTATTTAGATATCAGAGATCAATTTGTCTCATATTGTGTGTTGAACATGTTGTATCAACAATTTAAAATAGGTAATTTTTGTACAGATAAGAGCAAGACAACTTTGCTACGAAACGACAGTACATTAAAAAAATACCAGCAATTACAACAGTTATGAAATTACACTGATTGTTAAAAATGAATTCAGTTTCAGATCACTACAAATACCATAGCGATTGAGTGAAAGTGAAATCAAACCTCAGTATTTCCAAATGACAGTGCGAACTCTTCAGTCCGGTAGAAAGAAGCTTCACTCCTGAATCCTGCAGGTCATTGTTACTCAGGTCCAGCTCTCTCAAATGAGAGTTTAAGGATTGCAGAGCTGAGGACAAGCTTTCACAGCACTCAAAAGTCAATCTACAACCTGCCAATCTGAATAAAGCACAACAAAACACTAATGAACACTTTTGAACACAGCTTTAAAAGTTTGTTTCCCAGAAACATTGACTTATAGTGTGTTACGAAATCTCTAAAGGTATCTCTTAACCATGGGTATACAATTTCTAGACGTGTTTCCCAAACTATACCTTATCACAAGGATGGCCAAACTTGGTCCTGGAGGGCCAGTGTCCTACAGAATTTTGCTCCAACACTAATCAAACACCCCTAAACATGCTAATCAGTGTCTTCAAGATCACAAGACATCTTTAGGTAGGACTGTGTGACTAGGCTTGGAGCTAAATTCTGCAAGACACTGGACCTCCAGAACCTGGGCTTGCCCATCCCTGCCTACTGACAGCAGTGGAAAAGATTGAAGCTGGAAAGCTGCAGTCCAGTAGAGTTTTGACCCAGCTTTAATAAAAATTTGACTCAGAAGCAAACTTATTCTAGTAGATAGTCACTTACTCGTCAAGCTACAACAAACCTCTCCACAACATCATGCTGTGTGTATGTGTGACAGAGAGCATTAGGCACTTGACATTAGCTGCAGGGGTGTTAGAGGTTGTTAATATTTATGACCCTTCCAAATATGGTCAAAACCAACCATTTCATATTATAGCCGATTTCTAAGGTTGGGAATGGACCTTTAAAACTGTCTCTGGTGAACTTACCTATAACCACATATGCTTGTATTGAGGGTGCTTCACGGTTCTTTTGGCATTTGTGAACAGGGCAATCGTGCTCTGTTCCGCGGCAAAGTAATCGCTCCGAGACCGCCTGAGTGAGGTGGTCTCGGCCCGATTGAAACGAACCCTGGAGCGGTTCGATTGCAGTGAGAAAGCGATCCGATCCGAGCGCGGTTATATCACAGTGTTTTATGGATATGTAATAGGCTTACGGCTATATGAAGAGAGAATTATGAGTATGGCGGGAAGTTTCGCTAGTCTCCGGATGCCCGCAAACAAGTGATGATCTCCCGGTAATCTCGCGTCTCCCTCCTGGTCCTTAAATAGGCATCGTCGCGCACCCTTCTCACCCCTCCCCACCGCATCTCTCCTCAGACACGTCGCGCGCGCACACCTTGTCAATCACCACCAAACCACCACCTCTCCTGACAGCTGAGCGGGACGCTGCAAAATAAACCCTGACATTGACCAATGAGAGAAGAGTTTACTCACACGTGACTTAAAAGCGAACCGCTCAAAGAGCAACAATGTAACATCTGTAATCTCTGTTTCGGAACAACTGAATTGATTCACAGGTGTGAAAGCACCCTTAGATATCAGAGAACCATTTAACATATCGTATCAAAGCATTCTGTGACACCTTTAAAATAGTTAGTAATTTTTGTATAGATACAACCAAGACATAATTTGAAAATAGACAGATTATGGTTTCTTCCTTTCACAATTTTCCAAATACAAGACCATTAGTGTTAATCTAAAAAACTGCACTGTATGGTTTGCGTGTCTGACAGAATAGCTAATAGCAGAGCACTTAATATTGGCATTACGATTGTTCCAATAACTGTGAATAAAACTCTTGTGGAGTAAGTAGGGATATCAAGTAAAGTAGGGATGGAACTTCACTCTGCAGGAGGCTCTCTGGGTAAGGAATTGGGCAGCCCTGGTCTAAGTTAAGTTTGTCATCTGTGCATGTGTTATCAGTTCTGCAAGTAACCTGTTCACAAAATACCTTGATCCACTAAAACTTCCTTGATTCTGAGGTTGATTGAGTGAATGCCAAACCTAAGTAAGTTCAGTCGACAGTTTGAACTCTTCAGTCCAACAGAGATTGAATTCACTCCTGAATCCCGCAGGTCATTGTTGCTCAGATCCAGTGCCGTCAGATGAGAGTTGGACGATTGTAAAGCTGAAGACACCGTTTCACAGCATGTTTCATCAAGACTACAGCCATCAAATCTGCCAAAACAAACATTTAAACAAATTCATTCCTGATGTTCAATACTATCTTGGTCAAACATTGTCCTAAGGGCGCACCCACACTTTGCTATCCGAACCATGCCCAGGCACGTTTCTCAGTTAGTTTGAGAAGTGTCAGTGCTCTAAATTAGGCTCAGGCACGGTTCAGTTGGCCGGCCCTGGCCCGGTTGGAAGAGGTGTGCGAGAGCGCAGTTCACTTGGGCTTTGGCGTGGTATGCTTGTATTGTGAGTGCAAAGTGTGCCTGAGCCCGAAATTGAAGATGAGACGTGGCTTTTCACGGGACATAGGGATTTATTAATCAATCTTACTGTTAAATGAATGCAAACTGTCATAGTTTATGAAAGACGCAAACCCCTTACTGCATGACAGCTGCACCTTTAGCAAACCTCCTAATTCCTGCAGCACGAGGACTTTATGGTTGTTTATGGGCGTCAAAAGTGGCTTGTCTGTTCGGCGAAATATTTGACTGCGTATCACTGCATCCCAAACGACTAAAACGATATAAAGAAATCTCCACTGTGCTGAGCGAGAGCGCTTCTTACTGAACAGCGCATCATTGATGACGTAAGCTTACCCAGGCGCGAATGGAATGTGGGTGCGGGCCATCGGGGGACAATCGTGCTTCAGGTTTAAGGCAATTGTACATAGTGTGAGTACGCCCTATGTTTTCCATTAATAAATAAATTTCAATTTCAAAATTAACTCGTTTTGAAATCCATGCTAATGTAACGGAGGCCAGCTAGTGTGTGCTGTGCAGGTAAACCTCACTCCTCTGACCACTAAAGGTGCTCTAACGACAGACGCTAGAGGCCATGGTCTTTAGCCTCCTTGGTAGAGCACCCGACTTTCATGTGGAAGGTCGCCGGTTCGATACCAGCTCAGAGCGGGTTGGGTGGTGTAAGACTGGAGGGGTTACATTGGTGCCGTGACCCGGATGGGAGTAAGGTTTAGGGGGGTGAGTGTAACAGAGGCCAGCTAGTGAGTGCTGTGCAGGTAAGTGGCTTGTCTGTTCGGCGAAATATTTGACTGCGTATCACTGCATCCCAAACGACTAAAACGATATAAAGAAATCTCCACTGTGCTGAGCGAGAGCGCTTCTTACTGAACAGCGCATCATTGATGACGTAAGCTTACCCAGGCGCGAATGGAATGTGGGTGCGGGCCATCGGGGGACAATCGTGCTTCAGGTTTAAGGCAATTGTACATAGTGTGAGTACGCCCTATGTTTTCCATTAATAAATAAATTTCAATTTCAAAATTACCTGTGCAGGTAAACCTCACTCCTCTGACCTCTAAAGGTGCTCTAACGACAGACGCTAGAGCAACCGACTCCCATGCGGAAGGTCGCCGGTTCGAAACCAGCTCGGAGAGGGTTGGGTGGCGTAGGACTGGCGGGGTTAAATATACATTTAACATACTTAAAATGACTCACAGGGCTTTTCTGCAACATGCCACAGCTGGGACAAATCTCATGCAGTCTGCAATCGATGACGCAAATCTCTTTGGATTAAACTCATTCAGCACCTTTTCTGACATGAGCAGTACATAGGTCATCACCGAACACAGCGAAGGTGAGAGTTTTCTTCCAGGATATTCCTCCGTACTGATGTACTTCTGAATTTGCTCCAATAAAGAATGATCCTTCAGCTCAAGTAGGCAGTAAAACAGGTTGACCGAAGCTTCCTCTGAGATTCGGTTGCTGTCTTGTAGTTGTTTAATGTATTGACTCAGTTGTAAGACACTGTCTGTGGTGTCCTCTTTGTGTGGGAGCAGACCTTCAAGAAGTTTCTGACTGGACTCCAATGAAATACCTAACAGAAACCGCAGGAACAGGTCCAGCTGTCCTCTTCCACTCTGAATAGTTTTATTAATTGCATTCTGTAGCAGATCTTGCAGTTGGATTTCTTTTACTGGCTCATCAAAGAAAAACCGAAGCTCCTCGTTTATCTTACTCAGATAACAAAGGAACACATGCACGGCAGCGAGGAACTCTTGAACACTCAAATGCACAAAGCAGAAGACCTTCGTTTCATGAAGTCCATCTTCCTTCAGAAATAACTCAGTCAGCATTCCTGTGGACTCCGACCCTTCGCTCAAATCAATACTACATTCTCTTAGGTCTTCCTCGTAGAACACAACGTTCTCCTTTTTCAGCTGTGCAAATGCTAGCTTTGCTAGCTTCAAAATCATGGTTCTGTTTGAATCTAAAAGCTTTTTACGATCCCTTTCTTCTCTTCCATCATACTTCTGGCTCTTCATGTTCATCTGTATGAGCAAAAAGTGAATGTACATCTCAGAGAGAGTTGTTCTGATTGTCCCCGTGTTGCTCCTGATGAGAATACTCTGAAGTACCGTAGCCGTGATCCAACAAAACACAGGAATGTGGCACATAATGAAGAGAGTGCGAGATGTTTTAATGTGTGAGAGGATTGTCGAGACTCGTTTCTCATCTTTGATTCTCCTTCTGAAGTATTCCTCTTTCTGTTGCTCAGAGAATCCTCGCACCTCTGTGAACAAACCTACATATTGAGGAGGGATCTGATTGGCTGCTGCTGGTCTCGAGGTCACCCAGATGAGTGCTGATGAAAGCAATGTCTTTTTGACGAGACATGTATAAAGCACATCTACAGATGACCTTTCCTCAAAATTCGACAGAATTCCTCTTTCGGAATTTAAAGACAGTCGACTCTCATCCGTCAAATATGAGTGCTAGATTACACTTGGTGTATAACTTTGAATTCCCCAAGTCCTTCAGTTCAGGGTAAAATACCTGAAGAAACTCGTGGATGTTGAGCTTTTTGTCTTTAATCATGTTAATCTCTCTGAATGGAAGCAGGAACAAGCAGTGTATATCCTGATTGGCTTTTCCTTCGGCCCAGTCTAGAATGAACTTGTGTACAGAGACTGTTTTTCCAATGCCAGCAATGCCCTTGGTCAGCACAATCTTCCTCTCATTATTTTCCCTCAATAAGTGGAATATGTCATTGCATTTGATCGATCTGTCCTGTGCTTTCTTGGTTTTGTAAGCACCATCCATCTTCATAATCTCATGTTCTCGATTGATGTCTTCAACGTCTCCCTCGGTGATGAACAGTTCGGTGTATATGTCCTTAAGATGGGCTTCGTTTTCTTTCTTGCCCTCAAAAATGCGTTCTGCTTTCTTCTTCATGATGGATTTGTGTGTTTCCAAGAACTTCTGCAGCCTTAAAAATTCTATAGGATTGAGGAAATAGTATTAAAAACGGACAAATATCAGTGTAAACAGGTTTTAACTTGATGTGCACTAATACAATACTTGACCTGGACCTTATATTGCAAGATTAGAACGTTAGGTAAAGATCAAGGTCCATCAATATTCTTTCATTTATTCTCCTTTGGCTTATTTATCAGGGGTCGACACAACTGGCAACTATTTCAGCATATGTTTTACACAGCAGATGACCTTCCAGCTGCAACCCAGTACTGGAAAACACCCATACACTCTCCCATCCACACTCTACGGTCAATTAAGTTCTTCCAATTTACCTATAGCGCATGTTTTTGGACTGTGGGGGAAACCGAAGCACCCGGAGGAAACCCACACTAACACGAGGAGAACATGCAAACTCCACATAGAAATGCCAACTGGCCCAACCAGGATTCAATCCGCCATCTTTTTTGCTGTAAGGTGACAGCGCTAATCCCTGAGCCACTGGTCCATTAATATATTTAGTAATATTCGTACTGTGCATGTATCAAAGCTTTAAAAAAAAATAATTGGTGCAATGAATTGCTAAGAACTTAATTTTGAAAACTTTAATGGTGATTTTCTCAGTATTTAGATTTTTTTAACCCTTAAAACTACAGATTTTTGAATAATTGTAATCTCAATCAATTATTGACTTATCCTAACAAATCATATGTCAATGGAAAGTTTATTCAGCTTAAAGTTGACGATTTAATCTCCATTTCCAAAAAAATACAGCAACAAATGCGTAAAGACTAAATAGACTAATTATTTTCAAACAAACATTCCCACATGTTTACTTGGCCTACAACATGCTGAGATATTGGTTAAATATCATTCATTCATTCATTTTCTTGTCGGCTTAGTCCCTTTATTAATCCAGGGTCGCCACAGCGGAATGAACTTATCCAGCACATTTTTACCCAGCGGATGCCCTTCCAGCCGCAACCCATCTCTGGGAAGCATCTACACACACATTCGCACACACTACGGATAATTTAGCCTACCCAATTCACCTGTACCGCATGTCGTTGCGGGGAAACTGGAGCACCCGGAGGAAACCCACGCTGAATGCAGGGAGAACATGCAAACTCCATTGGTTCTGATGGTTCAAACCAGCGACCTTCTTGCTGTGAGGCGACAGCACTACATACTGCGGCACTGCATGGCCTGGTTAAATATGCTCTGTACAATTGTTAACATTAAATAATGTAATCAAATCTCTGGTGATATGAGTTTCTTAATTGTCACATCAACGTGTGCAATTTTATTTGGTTTGTTTCATGCCAAACTAGGTTGCTATCGCTTACATTTTTGAATAAGATGAGTCTGTGATTGGTCAACGTGTTTTTTTAGGCTATATCTCCACTTGTTGGTTTGGCATGCTCTTGGAGATTTTTTTTTAATGGAGGCTTTATGCAGTATGTATTACTAACAATGTGAAGTACTTTCAAAACAATAGATCAGGGGTGGCCAACCCTGTTCCTGGAGAGCCACACTCCTGCAGATTTCAGTTGCAACCCATATCAAACACACCTGAACCAATTAATTAGGACCTGAAAACCACGTGATAATTACAGGCAGGTGTGTT